TGTCACTCTCTTATCAGCTAAGTGCAGCTGTGAAAAAACTGTAATTGATAAAAGTTCTTTTCATGCCAGAATAAAACTTGTTTGGCAGACAGTCAACATTATTAATTTCCATGGATTATACTGACTATATGCAGTCATTCCAACTGGGGCTGTGATTTTGTCAGACCTCATGAGCTAAGCAGTATTGGCATGGTTGGATGGGAGTCCTCCAGGTATAACTCGCATCTAAAACGTAGGGCTGGAAATTCTCTCGGCAGCCCCTTTTGCTATGAGTCAGTGCTGAACCAATGCCTTGGTGTGGCATTATGATGGGATACTGCATTGCTGTAGGTGCTGCATTTTTGGATGAGACACAAGACAAGGTGCTGACCTATTGTGCTCATTAAAGATCCCTTGGCATTTCTGATAAGAATAGGGATGTTAATCCTATTAACGAGCTTCCTGGCCAAATTCCAGGTGGATAATTGCAGTATATTCTGCCTGCCTTATTCCCTTGCAGTCTTAGTTAGAGATCATATTCTTCTTCACTTCCTGTCTTTTAAAAAACATGCTATGTAGCGTTACTGTGTTCTGTTAGCATGTGAGTAGTCACGAACAACTACTGTGTTCTATCGCAAAGATGGAGGCAGAAGTCATTTTGTGTGTGTGTGTGTGTACATAAAGCAGAACTTGGCCAATATTAAGTGCTTTGGGGTTCTCTTGAGATGAAAGGCTCCCTATATAAAGCAACTATTGTAAAATATTATTGCATAAACATATTCACTTTTTGTGAACAATTTATTCCTCTTTGCTGTAAAAACCCTAAGGGTTTTATATGTAGTCACTAGATAACACCATCTTTACAGCATTTATTCTTTCGGCCTATCTTTGCTCTTTTCTCCTCTTTCCCTCCCCCACCTCCCTTTTGGAATCACATGCACAAATCCTGTCATAGATGCTCATCTTCAATGCCTACCAGAGGAAGAGCCCCGTGAATATGACAGGATAGGTGAATCAGGCGTGACAGGTTCTTACATGCTTCTGCCAACTACCAACATCTGTGCCTTCAAATGCAAAACACGTTAATGAGCATACAGACACGTGAAGTGAAAAGCCACTGTGTGCGCAGGGAGAATCAGGCCCAGGTCCACAAAAGGAGATTAGGTGCTGAAGTCCAATGTTTAGGTGCCATCAAGATCAATCCCCTGCTCAGCCACTGCCTAACCATGGAGGTGCCTAAAATCCATCAGTGCCTAAACACCATGAAAGTCCCCATGGTGCCTAAGTTTCCGTGTGTCAGTATGTGCACAACCCTTAAGTCCAGGTGCCTGGACGCCTGTCTCATGCCTCAGCTCCAGCATGAGCCTCAAACCACGTGAACGTAGGCATTAGCCAAGTTTCCCGCCTCTCGGATGACTGCCCCAACCGCTGGACTATAGAGTCATTCTCTCTCTGTCTGGCCCAGTGACTAGTTAGTTATTTATGCACAGATGAAGAGCTTCAACAGCAGCACTTGAGGGAGTCCCACATGGGAACATTCCCTAGCACGGTGGGTAAGTCACTCATCTGAGAGGTGGCTGTTCCCTGTTCATATCCCCTCTCATCAGGCAGAGTGGGGAATTGGACCCACATCCCAGGTGAGTTCCCTAATCATTGGGCTAAAGGTTATAAGGGGGAAGTCACTGTCCTCCCTCAGCTGATTTGTGTAGAGTTAGATGTCTACTGCTGCCTTCTTACAAGAAACTGCTTTGGTGCCTGACCCCAGGAGAGGAATCCCAGCTGTGGATTGTGAGTGGATATAGGTGCCTAACTACCTAGGGGAGGAGAGCTTAGAATGAATCTGCTCCTTGGCATCTGCTGTTGGCTAGCTCAGGCGGCTCCCCACCTAGCATGCTGGCTTTTATGAATCTCATTCTCACTCTCCCCATGCATTGTATAGGGAGCCTGGGAGCCTAACTTGGGGTTTGTGGATTTCACTAGGTGGCTATGCGCCTAAAAGTTAGGTGTTGTAAACTTTGTGGGCTATGGGCCTCAGTTCAGAAAGCTTTTCTTCATGCCTGAGGATTTCAGATTTATTTTATATCAAATAGTACTAGAGTGCACAAAAGTGAAATGAGAATTTTTGCTGTTTTAGGTCACTTCCAATGCGCTGAATCTTAGATTCTCACCATTTGTTTTGTTGTTGGGGGGAGAGGGGTGTTCATTTTGGGTTTTTGGTTTTTGCCCTAGGAATACATTAAGAAACTGCCTTCCTTAATTCAGACCAAAATCTAGCTTCAATTTCTTTATGATCCCTTCTGATGAGAGACAACTGGAGTGCATGTTTACAAATCTGCTTATGAATTGTCCTCATTCTACCATGCTTGCTTGTGTCAGGCATGTTACATAGCAGGATAGTTGCACATAGAATTACATTAGCAGTTGAATCTGGTATGTTTGCCAACATCTTTTTGAGGTCCTGCAAAGACTTAACGGTATTGTTGATGATGATGATAATGACATCTAGTCATTAAAGTCAAATTAGATTTTAGAGTGCAGTTTGTCTAGCCTGATTTCTCTGTTGGCAGCACACACTTTCCCTGTCCTCACCATCCATCACCTACACCTGTATAAACAGCTGTCATCACTGAAAGGACTCGTCTGGTTTTTTGCTAATTTTGTCAGGACACTTCTTTAAATTGGTACAAAAAGAAACACTTCAGCTGCAAACAGGACTGATGTTGCCAAGCAACACAGATCTCTGCGTTGAACAGTTTTGACTTTGAGAGTTTCCTAACTTTGTAAATGGATCCCTCTGTATTAGAGATGCTGCTTTTTGGGATTGCATTAACAATACTGTCAGCTTTTCTGGCAAGGTTTTATACTTAAGCCTGGTATACACCTAAAACTTAGATCAACTTAGCTGCATTGCTCAGGGCTGTAAAAATGTTTGCACCCTGAGCTCTGTTATTAGGTCAACCTAATCCTCTGTGTAGATGTAGTTAAATTGATGGAAGAATTCTTCTGTTGACTTAGTTACTGCCTCTTGGAGAGATGGATTACCTGCATCGATTGAACAATGTCTTCTCTTGATGTAGGAAGGATCTGTACTACAGTGCTACTGTAGCGTAGACATACCCTTAGTACGTTAAATTTTAGCCTGGGATATGTCTATATGGCTAAATCTCAAATGCAAAAAGTGTAAATTTTGGTCTTAATGTTTGGGGATATTAAATTAGGCAAGTGGAAAGATATATATTTATATCCTCTTTAATTATATCCTTAATAAGTTTTTGTTATTAGCAAAATTCAAAACAACCTCCATACAAATTAAGCTATGGCAAGTAAGTAATTTCCCCTTGCTATGGTCTTTGCTATTAGAAAGAAAGTGATTTGTGAACTGAAGTTATGTTCTCTGTCTGAAATGCACTTTTATTTAGACTGCCAAAAGGCAGATTTACATAAACGCCCTTTTGACTAAACACATCTTTGGAGTGATTATTCAGACATTCTTGTTAAGAGCTTTCAGAGCTCTTCTAAATGGGTCACTATGGTCTGTCAGGTGTATAATGTATAAAAGTGTCTAAATATATACTGACTTCTTTTTAAAAAAGGTATTTTCAGAAGCAACAATCTATCAAAAATCTACCCATAGGCACCTCTACAGCACACTTTTCTACTCTAGCAAATAAAAACAACCAAGCAAGTCACCAGACTGGAAATGTGGTGCACCTTTCCCTTTCCCTTTTAATCATTTATCAAGACAACACAAAGACTTAATGATAGAGTTTCAGCTTCAGCTATGAATTTCTGTGCTTTTCATGAATGTCAAGCTCTCAAATAACCTTTTCCATAAATTATTATTTGTGAATGTTGTCTCCTAAATGGGACAGTCACAGAGAGAAGTAAAGTCCTATTTCACAATAAGTTTATTATTTAACTTGTTTAATAGGTCACGATATCAGACATGCAGTGCTACTGGGTTGTATGGTGCTTTTTGAGGAGGAGGAGTTCAAAGTGACATGTTTTCTTTATGGTTTAAGCTTGATTTCACAGTGCTCATATCACAAAACAAATGTTGTACGATTGGGTAGGTCGTGATCATCGTTTCGAAGAGGAGACCTATGCAATATCATCTAAAATCACCTTTTGCGTTCAACACTAAGGCTATGTCTATGTTCAAACCACTGCAGCTGCACTGGTGTAGCACTTGAGTGGAGACACTCACTACAGTGATGGCAGGGGTTGTCCCATCGCGGTATTTAAACTACCTCCCTGAGAGGCAGTAGCTGGGTTGATGGAAGAATTCTCTGTTGACATAGTGCTGTTTACAGCAGGGGTTAGGTCGGCTTAACTACATTGCTCAGGGCTGTGGATTTTTCACACCCCTGAGTGATGTAGCTTGGGTCCACCTAACTTTTTAGTGTAGACCTGGCCTAAGCTGCTGTCACTCATTTCATTTATGCAACTGAGTTTACAAATAATTACCCAAATGAGATTACATCTTCAGCTATGTCTACACTACAAGCACAGCACAGCAATGGAAGTGGTTTTTCTTCTCACTGTAGTAAATCCACCTCTTGAGAGGCAGTAGCTAGGCTGACAAAAGAATTCTTCCATTGACCTAGGGTTGTCTATACCCAGTCTTAGGTCGTCCTAAATATGTCTCTTGCGGTACGAGATTTTTTTTTCACACCCCCTAAGAAACATAGTTAGGTCAAGCTGAGTTTTAGGCTTTGGTTTAGACATTCTGAGAGAAGTATGAGCAGTAGTCCAATTCCTTTAGTTTCTCTTTCATTCTGTAGCCGAGCCAAGCGAGGTTCATTACTGTTACGGTGACATTCAAAAAAAGAAAAGGAGTACTTTTTAGAGACTAACAAATTTATTTGAGCATAAGCTTGGGATGAAGGGCAATTCCTTTGATGTAGTATTTGTATGTTGACTGTTCTTCACTATTGCAGACCACATCTGTTATCTTTCTCTTGGAGTACTGTGTATCCTTTCTGTAATTTCTTCTGATTTTTGTGTGTATGTTTTGCCAGGGGGAAATCTTCTAGGACGATTACTTTTGATCAATTTAAAGAAGCTCTTCAAGAACTCTCCAAGAAACGATTTAAAGACCAGAGCAATGAGGAAGCAGTTCAAGAAATACATAAACTAATAGAAGGAAAAGCCCCGATCATATCTGGAGTAACGGTACAGTAGTACTTTAGTAGTGACATACAATAAATCTCACTCTCCTTTCCAAAGCTGTTTCTTTTTAGGAGCCTAAACACTGACTCAGAGACTTTATTTAAGATCAAAAAGGACTATTGTGATAATCTAGCCCAGTGGTGAGCAACCTGTGGCCCATCAGGGTAATCCACTGACAGGCTGCCAGACAGTTTGTTTCCATTTGCACGGTTGTCTGCAGCTCCCAGTGGCCACGGTTTGCCGTTCCCGGCCAATGGGAGCTTCAGGAGGCCGTGCAAATGTAAACAAACTGTCTGGCGGCTCACCAGCAGATTACTCTGATGGGCCGCAGGTTGCCCACCACTGATCTAGGCTGAGCTCCTGCATATTGCATTCTACAGAATCTTACCCACCCACTTCTGAAATAGACCCCCAACCTCTGCCTGAGTTACTGGAGTCCTCAAATCACAGTTTAAAAACTTCAAGTTACAGAGAATCCATCATTTACTTTAGTTTAAACCAACAAGTTACCCATTCCCCATGCTGCAGATGAAGGTGAAAAAACCCCTGGGTCTCTGGCACTCTGACCTGGGGGAAAATTTCTTCCCGACCCCAAATATGAGAATCAGTTAGACCCTGTGCATGTGGGCAAGACCCACCAGCCAGACACCTGGGAAAGAATTCTCTGTAGTAGTAACTCAGAGCCCTCCCTATCTAGTGTTCCCATCACTGGTCATTGCAGATATTTGCTGCTGAGGTGAACTGGGCACTGGCATGGGCCTGCTTGAAATGTTTGTGCTGAAATAAACGGCAACAAAGCTCATGAAATATCTCCGTATCACACTATTACAAAGGATACTACATAGTCCTACTATGCTGGCAGAGCTATGCTGCTCAGTACCACCCAATAAGAAAGGAAAATCAAAATAGTCAAGAAAGCTCTAGCATGTGATCTGAGCAGAGAAATATTAGTTATAAGTTGTGCTGCAAGAAAAATGGGAGTTAAATACAAGACTTGTTAAACAACTTTAAAATATTTTGATTAAATCCACAAAACCAAAGAAGTAAGGACTTAAGTCTTAAAGTAAAACTAGCGCATGATATGAGCCATGTGGACATGGGAATGTTAAGGGCAGAATTCTCAGTTTTATATGGTCTGTTCTTAAATCTATTCTCTCCCCCCCCGCCACTTAAGACTGTCAGACCCATAATGTTGTTCAGTGTTTTTGATATTGGTAGAGATACTGTTAGATAGCTTAGTCCCAATAGATAGGTTTTGTGTAACAAAACCAAGTTTTACAAAGCCTAGTGTTGATAGATTTGTTTATTTTTAATATCAAGTTTGGTTGCTTTCCTCCCCTCCACCCCATTTCCCTACTTCTGTCACCCAAACAATGCAGCATCTGGCCCAGTTACACGGGCTTATTTATTTTCACTATCAAAACTGCGTGAAATGCAAAATGAAATAGACAACATACAAGATAAAAAGTAACATAGGACCAGTTTCTGGAAGAGTTTTAAAAACATGCTTCAATTTAAGTATCTGAGTACTCCCGCTGAAGTTAAGACAATGGGACAATTCACTTGCTTAAAGTTAGGCATGTGTTCAACTATCTTACTGAAACTGAGCCCAGGTCTTTTAATTAAAACTTTAATTTTAAACAGTCTTTCCAAGGAGAGGTTTTGGGACAAATGCCAATACACAGTCAGAGTTTCTGGAGAAGAGAGACAGATTCAGAGAGAGCAATCTTCATAATCCTTATAGTACTTACCAGGTTTTTACAGGATCTTTGAAATCTGTGATAACTATAATGTTGCTGCAGTTCTAAGGTTGGGTTTGATTAATTAAGAGCCAAATCTTGTTTCTGTTTAAAATCAGCAGTAACTTTGCAATTGACTTAAATGGGATGTGTTTCACCCTTTATCGTATTTGACATCTGCCAAAATAATGTTACATTTCAGCCTCGCTGGCATGCTTAACCTTGTGAACTATATTAACTAACTCACTACTTACTTTGATTTGTATACATTCTATAAAGCTTACTCCAGGCCCCTTCTAATCTTTGGTGTTGTCAGTCAGTAGGTACTGAAATGAGCACTGGCTAATAATGCACACATACCTGCTTCCTGCATGTGTTGAGGGGCATTGAGTGGTTTGCAGATGTACAGTGTAGCACTGTGTAAGTGCTTAGTATTCTCAATGAGATAGGCCAACACAGTAGCAGTGGTAGGGAGGCAGAATGACTCTCCCCTGCATTGCTCCCTCTTGTACCTGCAAGTTATTGCATAGATAACATGGAAGTAAGGGGGGGTGGGGTGGGGTGGAAAAAAATCAAACCCGGGGAAACGAGGGCCGATTTGAATTAGTTTTTATTCCTTATGCAGGACTTCTAAATTGATACATTTAACAGTTATGCTCTCATAAGTGAAACTCAGATGGGATCCTGTGGCTCTTAAAATATGCTGTGAGGAGCTCTCCATCATTGCTTTGGGCAGGGTTCTGATCGAGGTGGCGCCCAGTTTTTTTCCTGTTCCCCTGAAGGTTGAAGGAGGGGTCAGAGCGTGCCTGTTGTTCTTGGTGACCATGAGGTGTTAACAGATGCAACAGCCCGTAATATCGTGTAAACCTGAGTTGGAAGCTTTCCACAGTAGTCTGTCTACTAATCTAGTAACTCCAGATACTTTCCTCAATCATCAGGTGTCTAGGAGAAAAGCTTATTCTGAGAGCTAGTAGCCAGAATGACATTTAATTGAGATACAAAGTTGTTTGCAATGGCACCCAGAAAGGATTTGATCCAGCCATCTCTTCATGCCAGTCTAGTTTAATTTGAGATTTACCACCGTGCAGAGAGGAGCAATACGTTTTAAGACATTAGTAGAGAGGCCAGTGAAATATTTTCCAAGAGTTACTTTTTTGTTTTATGCTTTTGGCTGTTCATGTTTTAACTGATTTTGTGTTTGCGTATCAGGGCTGTGCATTCAGTTCTGCTGAAGACAGAATTAATCTGTATTTCTTGGTATGTGTATCTGATGGTCTTTTTAGGCTTCAGGGGGCCATTTTGGGGGCCCAAATAATATTTTGGGCATATCCCACTATTTCAGTTGCTGGATGATGTAAATAATATGAAGTGGGACTCAGGTGTTGGTAGACTTCAGTGGAAGATCAAGGGCTTTTGATGGCTTACCTTCTTGGGTTGAATTTTGGCTGAGGTTTTTTGTGGTGGGGCACATCTATTTTAAAGGACTGCCCATTCTTGCTTAGGGAGATCTCCGCTTCAGCAGTGAGATCTACAAGTCCTTGCTTTTGAGATTGGAGGGTGCTATAAGGGATTCATTTTTTTTTTCTTCAGAATGTTTTTCAAATGACAAAATTATCTGTTGATTGATATGATTGGAAAGACAACAGTTGGCAGCCAGATACTAAGATGAGTGGAAATGTTGATCTGTATCCTGGAATGTGAGCTGCATCAGCATTCCTGTAAAACATTATAAAATGGTTATGCATTGCAAACAGATGTGTTGGAACATTGATTTTTGTGCAGGGGTTTTCTCTCATGTTGGCAGAAGCATGGAAACTGAAATTGCAACTGATGGCTCAGATGTTTGGGATAGTGACGATAACTGAGTGAGGGGAAGAGAGGTAATTCTTGGGAGTCCAGAGAATGTCGTAAATTAATTCCATTCCAATTTTGGTAGTGAAAGACGTATTTTGGGAAAGTGCCTGTGACAAATCAAGATGACCCAGATTTTGTCATGGGTCTTTTGTGTCTCTCAGCACTTTATCTACCCATTCTACACCAAGCAGCTCTCGATATTTCAGAAAATGCCTTAGGCAGCTTAATTTGGCAATCCAGAATGGATTCTCTGTAGAAGGGCTAGAAGTTTAACTCTGCTCTGCTGGAAAATGCTGGATTCAATATTTACTTTCATTTTTTTTTAAAGTGGAGCTTTGTTCTTTTCCAGGTTTACATGTGCAAATGGTATATAGGTGCAGATATATAGGTACGTGCATGCACACGCTTTTTTTGTGATTGAAAATATTCATTAGGGGCTGGATCATAAAATGGTGTCGTGACAACAAAAGGTCAGTTGTATCTGAACTATTGTCTTGAGAATAATTTACTTGGAGGCACCGTATAAATAAAAAAACAAAGTGTGGCTAATTTATCATCCAATTCAAGCAGTTGGAAGGGTTACTAAATTAAAGAACAGAAATGTTTGCCTGCTCTTCAGCTAAAAACCATCATTGTGAAGGAGAAGATAGGTGGTTTGCTAAGTGGGTTAAGTAGCACTGTATTTAAAGTAACCACATAGTTAATTCAAACACAGTGCTACTTTTTGTTTTTTAGGCACAGGCAGGGACAAGCACATAACTTCATACCTCTCTTCAAATGTTAGAAGATGTCATTTACATCAGAAACAAACATTGACCCAGAGGCCATACAGCAAGAAGTAAAACTCCTTTAACTTAGCAGGATGGGGAGGTCATTTGGGTGCTCCAGTTGAATAGCAATCCTTGAAGCATTGAAGGAAAAGGGAAATTTAGATGCTTTGGTCTAAGGGTTGGCTTCTCTTCCAAGTTCTGTCACTATAACACTCAAGTATCATACTTTTCAGGCTGCTGGACAACTTAACCCTTTTTCAGAAGAAGGGGTTCCTGTCCACTTTTAGAAACGTGATGATGAATGTATTGGGAAGGTGTGAACTACAGACCTGTAATCCCCTCACCAGTAATTGTAAAGCACTGTCTAAAATTCAAGTTATCAGGCTGAAGTCCTGTTTGAACTGATACCCCTGGCCCATGTGAGATATAAAATCAGTTTACTCCCAGACAAAGAGATACATGGTTCAGATTAAAAAGAAAAGGAGTACTTGTTGCACCTCAGAGACTATCAAATTTATTTGAGCATAAGCTTTCGTGAGCTACAGCTCACTTCATTGGATGCATGTATGAAGTGAACTGTAGCTCACGAAAGCTTATGCTCAAATAAATTTGTTAGTCTCTAAGGTGCCACAAGTACTCC